ATAAAAATATTGAATATTTTAAGTTGTTTTAGAAGTTAGTAGATTGATTCATCTACCTACTATTAATAATTGTCTGGTATTTGGTAAGAGCATGATAGGCTACCTGTGGCAAGGAATCGCAGTGAACAAAAATTGCCGTCAACAGCACACGTCACCACTCGGAGGTGACGTGTGCTGTGACGCGGCAAAGGCCACAAAAATTGCCGACCACGAAAATTGCCTGTACGAGCAACGAAAATGGTGAAGTGTGCTGCCAGCTTTAGTGTAGCTGTAAAACTAATGTCCTCCGTTTCACTCCTGCGGCGGAGCTGAGGGCTATAGTTCTAGAGCTACTGCTACTGCAGTACTGGTGTAAAAAAAACTATACAACAACAGTGCTCGTTACGAGGCAGAGCCAGAAAGATAGAACTCAACTGATTTGGTTAGGTTAAGGATAATGGATATTGATAGGCCTAGCCTAATAACTTGTCACCTATGTCTGGCGATTTCATAAATCGGTCGATTCTGGCCTTAAATTCACAGGTCGTGGTTGCTATACATAATATACTAATTACTATACATTATAGAGGTTGTACTGAGTAATACAGGATAATAATAAACAAAGAGAAATGAATATGACACTACAGTATACTTCGCGTATCTCACTGGACTTGAGTTTACAATTTCAGCAGTGTAACAATTATTTTGTCACATATTTTGTGGCAATGAATGGGCCTTGAACAAACCTGTCGCCCACTATATAGAAACACTAATGCCTTCTTAAAGCAAGGGTTTCTCATGTATTTACCAACCGTTTACATATTTTCTTGACCGTTCTAACACCTGCCGGTACTTCTTGCCTAACAACAAGTGTAGTATATATAGCAGCGCACGAAATTCAGATTTGTTTGCACCAGCCCAGAGGGCTGGTAACAGCAATTTCTTACCAGCCCTTACCATAATTTACCAGCCCTCATAAATTTTGTTTGTAAAATCAATGTCATGTTTCACGCTTGCATTTACCCATTTTCGATTTTAAATTTGTAAAATGTTGATAAATTATGGCGTAATATCCTTCAGGTAAAATAGTAATGTATGCTATTTGCTCATTGATGCTATAAATAAAAATGTAGGTACTCGCTAACATGTGCTGAAACCACCGGCTCAGAGGGCCAGTGTTGTGCCAATGTTACCGGCCCTCCAAATAATTTGCCAGCATATGCCGGTGGGCCGGTGCTAATTTCGCGCCCTGTATAGTAAGGCTAATATCTCATGGAACACTTACATCATTCTATTGACCAACATGTGCACCAATTTACTGTTTTATAGCCTATAACTTTAGAAACTCGTAATAATTTTTATGCTGAAGTGAAGCAATGATTGTTTTAAGTTGTGCTGTATTAGAATAGGATGTTCATGGTGATGGTGGTATATAGGTGATTATATATTCATGTGACATGTGATTTAAGCATTACTGCAGGTTCTATCACATATGCTGCCTAGATCTAAATGAGTGATTGATGAATATATTGCATGTATGTTGTATTTATATTATTTATGCATATATATACACATGTTCAGATGTGCAATAGCTGCTCACATAACATTGCCACCTGTTTCAGAAATCATGGAAGTAACGGCAGAGAACCTGCAAACGTTGGCAGGATATCTTGAGAAGACACTCAGTCCTGTTGCTCAAGAGAGAAGAACAGGTGTGGCAAAATTACACGGGAATATATAGCCTCGTTCACACGAGACCTCGTATTTATGAAATACGGTATTTGCGAAATACCGAATCTGAGACAAATACGCGGCCGAGCGTTCACACGCTGATTCGCGGCTCCAGAAATACGGTATTTGCGAGCTGCGAGCTGCTTTAAACAATCAAGCGAACAATGCGAAGTAAACAATGCAATGCGCACCAACTGCCGATAAAATACGTAGACTGGTCCGCGCTCGACAGTTCCACTCGCATTACACTGGAACTGTCGAGCGCGGACCAGTCTATAAAATACGCGGCTTCAGAAATCCGGTATTTAGCATTCACACGAGGAAATGCGCGGTCCAAGAGATCCGGTATTTCTCAAGCACGGCAAATTCTTTGGGGTCTGGGAAGCCGCGTATTTACATCAAATACCGGATCTGTTTAGATACCGTATTTCTTGGACCGCGCATTTTGCCTCGTGTGAACGCTAACTACCGGATTTCTTGCTACGTGTGAACGCGGCTTATAGCTCACCGTTTCGATAATTGCGACAGTACTATTCATCATCGTTTAAAGTGAATCGCATCTATTGGTTACCAGGGTGTGAAATTAACAGGAGTCCAGAGTCAAATACTCCCTGATTTACTGTCGGACTCCCTGATTTGACATATGCAGGAGTCCGTGTGACTCCCTGAAAATTCTGCCATACTAACTAGTTCGTTACGGAGCACGGCCTCGCAGAATTACTGTATTTTTTCAGCTAATGTTTAAAGAAAATTTGGCAGACGTGCAACTGCATGAATCTTAAAAATAAGCAAATGTATGCGTTATTGTTAATATCTTTTATTTTGAACCTCATACTGCGGACTCCCTCATTTTGCTGCAGACTCCCTCTTTTTGAGGGTACACGGACTCCCTTGTTCAAAAGTTAATTTCTACCTCTGGGTTACTCGCAGATATTGATACAAACTATGAATAATCTATAGTTGATTATGCAATATCATTGTGCGATTGCCTTCCTGGGAACCAATTAGGCACGCTAGCTGTAAAAGAATAAGACGTGTGTCGTGTGCGAGTATTTTATGTGACGTTATGTTTCTCCTGCACTTCTCTCCAGCCGAGAAATTCCTCGAGTCTATTGAAGGCAACCAGAACTACCCGTTGCTCCTGCTGCATCTGCTGGATAAGGCTGATGTGACTGTAGCACTGCGGGTCAGCGCGGCCATCACTTTCAAGAACTACATCAAACGCAACTGGAGAGTGGTGAGTACGAATTCGTCGGCAGTGGCAGCCGGAAGTTGCGATGGCCCAAACCTAGTTTAGCACCCCTGATTAGTTTAGCACCCCGGATTAGTTTAGCACATATGCGAAAACACATTTGCTAGGTCCCAAACTATCCTTGATCATCTTATCTTTAACTGTTGCGATCGTCCAATCGCGTCAACCTGTGTTGTGTAGAGGCTCAAACTATCTCATAACCTTATAAAGATTAATATTTAAAGTTCAAGGGACTATACATCAAATAGCGTGACAGAGTTATATCAAACATCAAATACACAGATCAACGCTGCAGATCCCAGTAGAAAGAGCTTCAATTTTGCAATTAACCGAAGAGGAAGGAAGAGAATTCCAATCTGAAATGACAGAAATGAACAAGCTAAACTTAAAGATTTATATAAAAGGCTATCTTTGGCACTAGTGCAGTGTTTTTTTGTAATTTTAAACCGATGCAAGTCATAATTGTGTTTGTAGTTTTTTCTTACAGAAAAAGTAATGCCAGATCATATTTTATTCAGGAGGTTTTTTCGCGGCATGCGTGTATTTGGATGTTTAATATGACGTGTTGTAGTAAGTGTAATATGAGTGAATCTTAATGCACTTAGTTATGCTCTGACCTATGCCTCTACTTCGTGTGTGGTCTTTCGCCGTGCCGGGTGTAAATTTATAAAGCTTCTCGGTAAACTTGGTTAGTTAGGTGAATGTATCTGTAAGACACGCGTCACGACATCGCATGCACGTCTGCACAGGTGGAAGACAGTGCTGACAAGATTCATGCCAGCGACAGGCAGGCGATCAAGACCGAGATCGTTGGTTTGATGCTGCGTAGTCCGGAACAACTGCAAAAACAGGTGCGGCGATGATAGTGATGACGATGATGAGAGTGATTATACACTTGATGCTGTAGCTGAGCATCTATCATTACAGTGGTATCATAAATAAAATGATAGTGATGACGATAATGAGAATGATTATATACATTTAATGCTGTAGCTAAACATCTGTCATTACAGTGCCGCTGAGTGGTATCATAATTAAAATGATAATAATGATGATGGTGATAATGACGTTCATGATGACGATAATGAGAATGATTATACAGTGATATTATACCTGATCATTTATGACATAGCACCAGTATTATTAGTGAAATGATGATAGTGATGATGGAGGTATTCTGGAAGTTATCACCTTTTTGTAGCAGCAGCATCAGCACCAGCAGCTAGTGGAGGACAATACAAGGAGGACAACGTTTATGCTACAAAGATGCTGTACATAATTTGTCGCTCTCCCTAGCAGCAGTCAAGTCGTGTGTGCGGATACACGGATACACGCCGTACTGATGTGCTGAGAATAGAGAGAATTAGGGATTAATTAGGGGAGAATTACAACCTGTAAATGCAGTCTCTGTGTGTGTGTTTCATGTAGCTTAGCGATGCTATAAGTATTATTGGACGGGAGGACTTCCCGGACAAGTGGCCGGACCTTCTGGGAGAGATGGTGCTGAAGTTTCAGAGCGGCGACTTTCACATTATCAACGGTGTGCTCCGAACTGCTCATTCACTGTTTAAACGGTAAATCTGCCAGCAGGCGTCGCCACCCTTTCCGCAAGATGTCGTTTCAGCTACCAATGTCCTGAACACGTCGCCTATAAATTTAAACGACTGAAAAGTTTTGACAACGTGAAATTTCGATGCTTTAGAACAGGGGTACTTAACCTGTGGTCGAGGTACTCCTTTGGGGTCCGTGAATAGGCTTCAGGGGTATGTGAACCAGGCGCATAAAAATTATTGTGTTTATGTGCTTATGTGCATTTTTCTTGGGAGGGGTCTGTAGCTTTCACCAGATTCTCAAAGGGGTCCATGACTCTGACTGCTTTAGAATAAGCTGTAATGCATTCGATTTTGTGGGTGTTATAAGCATTTTGGTTTCTGCAGTTATCGCCACGAGTTCAAGTCACAAGAGTTGTGGACAGAGATCAAATATGTTTTGGATTCCTTTGCATCACCGCTCACGGAACTCTTCAAGGTAGGAATAAAAGTATAGGTAAGATATAAGGTACAGATAAAATCAATATTTATTTTAAACAAGTCAATCCAGTTTATTTTGTTTTTTTGCAATGCGTCGAAAAATAAGCTCGTAATGTAACCACTGCCTTTTCATTACGAATCATGATTTTCTACATATCTTCAAACGCAACTCCACATGCAGTCAAACCCACATTCGCGGACAACTCTTTACAATGAACACTTAATTTGTCTATATAATGACAATTTTGGGGTTTGCATTGAACAACCCTAATATAGAGGTTTGACCGTACTTGCAATGAGTTTTGCGTCGTCGCCACCCTTAACGGGAAATGCTCATTCTTGCGAATAGTATAGTGCTGTTAATGCGTCGAAGTTTTGCTTATTCAAAACAAAGGTGTATCTGATTCTGTGTAGTTTACTCCATTTCTATTTTGAAATTGGGCGATATCTCGTGCTATCGCGAGATAGTCCGAGATTCACAAGAAATGGCAGCGGTAATCAAATCGAGTAATCAAAATTCGAATCATGCTTGTTTAGGAGAATATAGCCAACTACGAAGGTTCTAAGCCATTTAATCATTACTCTAGACAGTTTCTGTTACTCAAGCAATAACGGTAAGTGTCGTAAAAGTGGGTAAAACACTGGTTGGAAATTATGTTCGAAATCCGGGCATTGCTCGTGCTTGCGAGTAGCACAGTGCCAGTACACTGTGTCGACGCTGTTTTGCTGCAGGCTACGATGGGTCTGGCGGAGACGCACGCGAACGACTCTGCCGCCCTGAGCGTCATCTTCAGCTCGCTCGTTCTCATCTGCAAGCTGTTCTACAGTCTCAACTTCCAGGTACGGTCGTGTCCCGCGGTTTTGGGACGAGTACCGGCACGAGACGTGGCGTGTTGGTAATCGATAGAGATGTCCACCCGTCAATTAGCGTTGGGGGTGGGCATTGGGGAAAAAAATGTCAGTGTCGAAGTACCACCAAGTCAGCTTTCCTCGTCTACTCCGGGTAAAATGCAGCAAATGGTATTCTAGCTTGACCGGCCTTGCAACAATGTCCAGTGCGCGTGGGGTTGTCACACTAAGGCCGATGGGCCAGTCGCGTTCTGGCATCGTTCAAAGTTGTGTTTTGTGCTCTGAAGGATATTCCGGAATTTTTCGAGGACAACATGGCTATATGGATGAAGCACTTCCTAACTCTGCTCACGTTAGACAACAAGCTGTTAAACACACAGGTGAGATGAAACAGGGGGAATGTGCTGATAGCCTACCATACATACTTATATACTTACTTAAATAGTATTTACTTTAATTTAATTAGTTTTCCTTTTTTACTCTAAATGCATCTGGTAAAGTTTACAGTTAGTTATATTGCGCTGCATGATATGTGTTATATCTATATATGTACTGTAGTTGATGTTTCTGGCTAGAATATAATAAGTTATGTATAATTTATAAGGTTAATATAGGCTATAGCTTTCAAAGTAAGCATTACATGACGTATTCGTAACAAATTTAATATACATATCACACAAAATTTTAACGAAGTTCCATCCCATTCTGGTTATTGATTGGCTTCTTTTTGCTTAGGAGGATGAGGAGGCTGGACTGCTTGAGATGCTTCGCTCGCAGATCTGTGATAACATCACCATGTACGCGCAGAAATATGAGTCTGAGTTCAGACCATACCTCCCCGACTTTGTGACAGTTGTCTGGAACCTATTGGTGACAACTGGCCCACAGGTCAAATACGACCTGGTAAGACTCTTACAGTTGAAAAGTATCGAAAGTTAAACCTGTATATAACTACCATTTAATAGAAACAACAAGTGCCGCTTATAGGCAGGTATCTGCTCTATAGCGTTGTCCCCTAATGCAGCTTTGGTTGTGGTTGTTTTCCTGTAACTTAACGTAGTTGTACCTGTAAAATCAACCTATAGTTTTAAATGTGGAACGAGGTAGAGAAGAGTTGGTAACGTTTCTCATGTTTTTCTTGCATTTAGTATAGACCTGTAGTTGGTATTCTAGTACACTGCACATTAGGAAGCTTAGCCTTTACCAGTGTTAGTATTATTGTTAATATTATTATTTTTATCCGGAAGGTATATGGTACATGATGATTAGGAAGTGATCAGATGACGCACATGTTTGATGTTTTCTGCAGCTGGTGAGCAATGCGATACAGTTCCTGGCATCGGTAGCCGACCGCGCTCACTACAAGAACCTGTTTGAGGAGATGAGCACCCTAACAAGCATCTGTGAGAAGGTCATCGTTCCCAACATCGAGTGCAGGAGTAAGTGACATCTGCATCCCGTCTCCCGGATGACACTCTCTGCTTCCCGGATGTTTCCCGGGGCAACGTTGGTTGAATCGGTCACAGCGTGACACGTCCGCGAAAGGCCGTGTTTTGTATGCGTGGTAGTCTAGTCGTGTCCCACGGTGTCGTGGTTGATGGCGCGTTCTGACAGGGGATCGCTTGCAAAGCTCGCCGTTGTTTTCTCCTATACACGCGGATGGGACCTGGCGAATTGCAAGAGATTTAGTGCTGACGTTCTGATCCGTTGTTTGATAAAACATGCTGCCGAGTTCTCAGACGCCATCGTATTAACATTGCCGACGTGGTGATGACTGGGTTAGCGAGTTATTTTCAGACGCTATTGTAATTAACCTGTATCCCATTCCTACGCTTACAGCGGCAGACGAGGAGCAGTTTGAAGACAATGCCGAGGAGTACATCCGCAGGGACATCGAAGGTTCAGGTGCGTACCACTGGGTAGGTTGGTGCCATTGTCGCTATTCCCTAGCGATGGCTTCTTTTTATCTTGCGGTAGCAGTAGCTGGCTCTGCGTGCAATCATGTGTTCCTGCAGACTATTGTATCGCCGAGTGGAGTAACCGACACCATGTGCGGACAATTGAGCTACCCTGCCTGGTTTAATAATGCGCGCTGGCCTCGTAGTTGCGTCGCTGTCCGTCGATGCTGACGCGCGTGTTTTTCGTTGCGCCGGCAGATTTCGACACGCGGCGGCGGTCGGCGTGCGATCTCGTGAGGTCACTGTGCCGCTTCTTCGATCAGCAGGTTACCCAGATCTTCTCACAGTACGTCCAAGTTCTGCTGCAGGTATGCTGTGTTCGCCCCCGCGCTCTGAAGTGAGATGGATGGACTTTTTTTAGGGGAAATAGACAATAGACAATTACAGACAGTTACGGACAATAATTGACAGTTGCAGAAAATTACGGAAAGTTTGCGGTGAAATTTGCGGGCGGTTGCCGAACTTTGCATAACGACTCTTTAAATGTACAGAAAAAGCAAAAATGTGCAAAATTTGCTTATTGGAGGAGAGTTTCAGAAAACTTATTGACAGTTCCCCAACCAGCAGGTCGGTGTCACAAACTAGGCTCAACATGCCGGGGAGTTTATTTTACCAAAGGGGTAGCAGCAGCATTGGGTATTCTCGGCCAGTTGGAGAGGGCATAAAAAAATTGGGGAGTGTTCAAAAGAAGATTGGGTGGAGGAGTGTTACGTGGGCTGTTTGCAACTGGGTTTATGTGTCAAATCGTGTGTGTAAGCGGATCCTGGCGTCGTTGCCAAATTGTTCCACGTTTCCACTTACACATTTTCCTTCAGCAATATGCAAAGAATCCATCCAGCAACTGGAAGTGCAAAGACACGGCCATTTTCCTCGTGACGTCGGTCGCCGCCAAGGCGCAGACGGCTAAAGTAAGTAGCGCTGCGATCGCAATCTTTCTATGCATGTAATTAAACCTAACGAGAGTAACTGCTTGATAGTTATCGTTATCTGTAGTACATACTCGCTAGAGGGTGGAGGTGAATCCTGCCCTTCCATGGTGCAGACGTCTATAGCATGTAGCAGTATTACAAGGGTGAATAATGACAAAAATTCAAAATTAAATTAAATTTACTTTAATTAAAATAAAATATAAAAATAAAATTTAAATTTGTCATTAATTACCCCTGATATTATGGAGTTTGTAATGCAAACGTACTAAGCCCGATAGAAATAAGTAACTGCATAGGAGCTATCTCCATAGTACATCATACAGGGGGAATCGTATGAGTGTAGGAGTGAGGAATGTGATTGCAGGCAAGCGTGTGAGGTTAGCAGCAGTCGACAGCATCCCGCAATATCAGAGAAGATGCTCAAATGTATGTGAGCAAGGTGTGCGTACGTGTATCAGTTGCATGTGGAGTTTGGATTTTGCAGCACGGCATAACACAGACGAGCGAACTGGTGAACGTCGCCGATTTCTTCACGTCCACAATAGCGCCCGAACTGCAGTCCGAAAACAGTGAGTACAGTTAATGTGAAACTACTTCATGCTTCTTAATTTTTCTGGAAAAAATCATCAATTTTTGCTTCGATCAGTTTCACAGTGAGGGAGATTGGGGTAAAAGTTGCGTTTCACATGTCGCGTTTAGCAGTAATTGCGTTTTCTATCCTCAGTTGACCAGTATCCGGTGTTGAAGGCAGACTGCATCAAATACGTGATGACCTTCAGAAATCAGGTGAGCGCTGTTAACGTGTCGCAGACCTGCCAACCCTTACGATTTTTTCGTATTCATTACTAATTCCAAGATGTTTTTACGAATGTACGATCAAACTGAAAAACTTACATTTTTTTACGACTTGAAAATTAATGTGTTTTTTACATTATGTGAGCCGAGAAATATCTGGCGATTGTGGGCGCAGCCATATTGGATCACGCGTTCATGTTGTTCTCGCTTGTTCAAATAGTTGTTGCTACTATGTACGATGGGAGCTTCCATCTTTAATCTTAGACACTTAAACGTACGCGCCATCTCGTGGCAACTTTCATAACGATCCCAACGAACATTCTTTTGAGAAGGTTCCTGATACCATCCCTGTGCATTCTACTGTTTCGGCGTGTATGTGAACACATTTGGGACTAACAGGGTTTACTAGAATCCCACCACTCCACCACAGAGTCACCGCAGTAGACGTTAGATGAGCGCTGTCGCTCCGCGGCACTTGTTTACATTATGTGAGCCGAGAAATATCTGGCGATTGTGGGTGCAGCCATATTGGATCACGCGTTCACGATGTTCTCGTTTGTTCAAATAGTTGTTGCTACTATGTACGATGGGAGCTTCCATCTTTAATCTTAGACACTTAAACGTACGCGCCATCTCGTGGCAACTTTCATAACGATCCCAACGAACATTCTTTTGAGAAGGTTCCTGATACCATCCCTGTGCATTCCACTGTTTCGGCGTGTATGTGAACACATTTGGGACTAACAGGGTTTACTAGAATCCCACCACTCCACCACAGAGTCACCGCAGTAGACGTTAGATGAGCGCTGTCGCTCTGCGGCACTTGTTTACATTATGTGAGCCGAGAAATATCTGGCGATTGTGGGCGCAGCCATATTGGATCACGCGTTCATGTTGTTCTCGCGTGATCTAGAGTTAGTCCCATCATTCATTGCGCGCATAACATACAAACAAAATGGCCGCCTGCTGCAAGAAAAGAAAAGCCTTACTATTTTCATGAATCACAGGTTGGCAGGTCTGGTGTCGGTGCGGCGCTTTTTCTACTGCACACATCTACCGTCGCATGGCTGCACATTGTTTCATCTTTACTAGATGTAGGCGAGGTGACAGTGTGAATGTTGCGAGCGACAAATGAAGCTGAAGTCGAGGTCTCAGAAGGACAGCTGTCCCGAGTCGTACCTAGCACCCTCTACTCTATGCAACAATTTGTGTTTGTAAACGTTAGCATAAAACATGTGTGCACATGCTTGTGTGTGTGCGTGCGTGCAGGCGTGCGCGTGCGTGCGTGAAGGCGCGCGCGTACGTGTTTCTGTACACCGTAACAACTTTATACATCTGTTCATAGTTGCCTAAGGAGGTGCTCGTTGCGTGTGTGCCCTTGCTCGTTGCACTACTGAAGGCACAGAAGGTTGTTGTACACAGCTACGCATCCTACACCATCGAGCGTCTCTTCACAGTCAAGGACCAACATGGCAAGCCAATGTGAGTGTGTAAGCATGCTCCTCTCCTCCCACTCAAGGAGCTAAATATAACAAGGAGAGGAAGCGGATTGGCTGTGTGCTTTTCGCCTCAAGGGCGCCATCTATGGACCATAATCAGCTGAAACGGCTGTGCAGAGCAAACCCAGAGTCAATAGAACACTAATCTGTTCTAGGGTCTCTGCCGAACCCAAATTTGGGCCAGATATGGCAGCGCTTCCTCTCCTTGTTATATTTAGCTCCTTGCTCCCACTCTGCTTCCGTCTAATATTTCATCCCTTATCCCACTCTTCTCCGATTTCTTTTCTCTTTATTCTTTTCTTCTCTCATCTCCTGTCCCCTCTTCCCTCTTCCCTCTCTTCATGTTTATTTTTCTGTTCTCTACCCTCTTGTCTCTCCTCTCATTTCTACTCTCTCTCTCTCTCTCTCATCTATTCTTTCCTCTCCTCTCTTTCCTATCTTTTCTGTTCTTTTTTCAGCTTTTATCTCTTTCATCATCTCTTTCCTCCTCCTCTTCTGTCTCTTCTCTCATCTCACCCCCCCTCTCTCTCTCCTCTGTCCTCTCTTTCTTTTCCTTTCCCCTTTCCTTTCTCATCTCCTTCCTCCTCTCTCCTTGCCTATGCCCACTCCTCCTCTTCTCTCCTATCCCTGCTCTCCTCATTCTTTCCATCCCAATCCACAGTAGTGAGGCAGCAGAGGGTAACTGATGTCATAATGTGCACATGTGTTGTCACTATTGTAACAGACTCAGTCAGTCAGTCATCAGTCAGCCATCAGTCAGCCAGCCAGCAAGCCAGCCAGCCAGCCAGTCAGCCAGCGAGCAATTTAGTCAGCCAGCGAGCAAGTTAGTCAGCCAGCGAGCAAGTTAGTCAGCCAGCCAGCAAGTTAGTCAGCCAGCCAGCAAGTTAGTCAGTTCTGTCAGCCACCAGCCATCCAGCCAGCCAGTCAGCCTCGATCAGTAGTGACTAGGAGGAGAGGCAGTGATGTGTGTGTGTGCTTGCTTTTCTGCGTGCAGGCTGAGTAGGGAGGATGTCAGCCCCCATGCAGAGCTGCTGCTGGTGAACATGTTCAGTGCGCTCAGTCTGCCCGGATCCAGCGAGAACGAGTACATCATGAAAGGTAACGCGGACGTCATACTCGCGGCTCGCTGCTGAAGCGTGCAACGCCTCCGGAAACCTCGCTGGTCGTTGCTGCTGCGCTGGTTGCTGCAGTGTTGATCGTGCTGAAGCCTTGAATGATGCGCTGATAGACGTTTACATGCTGACAACAACAGACGAGCAGTCACAAATTTCGTTTTTGAATAATTTCTAAGTGATTGATGTGTGCGTGCGTGCGTGCGTGCGTGCATGCGTGTTTGTGCGTTGCATGTGTGCGTGTGTCTGTGCTTGCGTGCGTCCGTGCCTGCATGCGTCTGTGCCTGCGTGCGTGTGTGTGCGTGTGGGCATGCGTGTTTGTGTGTTGCGTGTGTGCGTGTGTGCACAGATGTTTGTGCGTTGCGTGCGTGCGTGCATGTGTGCGCATGTTGACGTGTGTGTTTGTATCTCGCAGGCATCATGAGGAGTATGTCGCTGCTGCAGGAGCTGGCTGTCCCCTACGTGCCCGCCATCATACCAAAGCTTAACCAGATCCTGCTCACTGTTGCAAAGGTAGGGCTTTACCTATTTAGCAATAGTAGTCGGTCGCAATATTGGTAAATATCATTAACTGTCGGTAAATATCGGTAAATATCAGTGAACATTAGTAACTATAAGTAAATATCGGTAGTAGTTGCAATATTAGAAAATATATCAGTGGCAGTGCGCGCCCGGCCGACTGAATGGCCATCACTAACTACCATCAACCATTCCCATCTCACGACCTCCAGCGAATTCGTCTTCACTATTCTAACACATTGCACGTGCTGATAACACGGTCTATCGCTGTCGTGATCGCTTGTGATACGACCGTCGTTGGCGGTGGCCGCCCCTATTGAGTCTGCGCTTAATTAGACGATAGCAGCTTGCTGACGTGGCGAGAGCGTGCGTGTGCAGGAACATTGGCTCGCTGATGTAGGGGGCGCCACTCTCGTTGCAGAACCCGAGCAAGCCGCACTTCAACCACTACTTGTTCGAGTCGCTGAGCTTGTCGATACGCATCACGTGCAAGGCCAACCCGCAGGCCATCTCTAGTTTCGAGGCGGCTCTCTTTCCACCATTCCAAGAGATTCTCCAGTTGGACGTGCAAGGTATGTGCGAAACGCGTGAGTGTCGTGTGGTGCCTCGCGGTTAGAAACGAACTTTTGCGAAACGAAGTTCTTGCTGGCCAAAAAAAACAGGCAGCAAACTTATTGATCCAGGCAGCAGCATAGTAATCTGCAGCAGGCAGAAACCCTTAGCAGTTCTACTGCCTCCTACTGCTCTTTACTGCCCTTAATATAATGAATATAATGGTTCTTTTTTCCTTTCTTCTTCTTATTATTTCTTGATGGTAATTGAGATTGTTTAATTTCTTGGTTAAAATAAGTTGATCCTAGTATGATTAAATCTGTCCTCCCAGCCTTGTTGGTATTTCCTTGTGCTGTCATCTGTCTCTCTCTTGCAGAGTTCATCTGCTACATGTCTGTCATCTGTCTCTCTCTTGCAGAGTTCATCCATGCAATCGCCGCTGGTGATGCGTTTCCTCCCTATCACAGCTATACATCGAATATTAAAGCGCCGGCACGAAATGCGCATCTAAACGCTAATTTCTGCAGTTGACTAGACTAGCAAATACTTCGTGTCATGCATAATCATACCTACCTCTAATGCAAATAAACTCTAGTTCCTCCCATTTGACTGCGCGTCTCCCAACAAGAAAAGTAGTCGTGACCGAAATCAGGTAATGCAGTCAGCCAACGCACTATATTGTTTCAAACAACATAACATCGAAGGTGGCTGACGCTGACGTCAGATGTTTCTTATCTTTTGATGCCGCCCGTTACCGCTGTACCGCGGCCCCACGCTGGCACGGTTGCTTGGCAGATTGGGACTGTCAACAACAGTCGGAGGGTATTTTCAAAATACCTTTTAGAAAGAACACGCGCAGTAAAATGCGGAAGGAATTAGAGGTTTATATTGCCATAATAGTTATGATTAGAGTGACACGAAGTATTTCGCTAGTCTAGTACTGCAAAAATTAGCGTTTTTGGATGCCGCATTTGTGCGGCCTTTAAGAGCGTCTAGTCCGAGCCCGTTGAAT